GATGAAAGTCCATTATATCAAGGGTCCATTATATGTAAAACCTCCATCTAATGAACTATATAGAGATGAAAGTCCATTATATCAAGGGTCCATTATATGTAAAACCTCCATCTAATGAACTATATAGAGATGAAAGTCCATTATATCAAGGGCCCATTATATGTAAAACCTCCATCTAATGAACTATATAGAGATGAAAGTCCATTATATCAAGGGCCCATTATATGTAAAACCTCCATCTAATGAACCATATAGAGATGAAAGTCCATTATATCAAGGGTCCATTATATGTAAAACCTCCATCTAATGAACTATATAGAGATGAAAGTCCATTACATCAAGGGTCCATTATATGTAAAACCTCCATCTAATGAACTATATAGAGATGAAAGTCCATTATATCAAGGGCCCATAATATGTAAAACCCCCATTTAACGAACTATATAGAGAAGTTTGTTATGTAGGTGTTTCACTATATCAAGGTCCCATATTAGTACTAAATAAACACTACACTACATAAATCACCAAAATATATCCTACACTAAATGTTATTCACTACAAAATGAAGGTTAATGAAAAATAGTGATACAAAAATTTATCTACTGTATTTAACATTATAACAAAATGGCTTCTCTTTCATTATACATTTGCATAATATTTTTTTTTTTCCATCATTCACTCAAAGTTTGTTATCGTTACAGTACGTGTAAGTGTTGTTAGTAGAAACAACTTTTAGAAATTTATACAACATTTGTTAAGTCTACAAAATAATAAACTATTTCTAAAAAACATTGTTATTTCGTCTTCAAGATGATACACAATGTTATCTGGTCAGTCAAGAGACCAAGTGTATTAAACAACAGCTTTGTAACGGACCGTCTGTATAAAAACTGACGTCAAAATTCCCCGAACATCTTCCGTCAGTCGGGAATCACTACTCTGGCATTCACGTCTAGTTCAAAATATCCAAGAATTGTTCATTTTGGCTCAGAATTTTATATTAAAGTATTATTCATAATTATTTTAGTTCACTGTTCGGGGAATTTTGACCACAAGTGTACATCTCGCCGTAAAGTTCGTCGTTTTAATGAACCCAAGACGAAAAAGATCTATTAAGGAAATGTGGTTTTACGTTCTTCCTGATATATTATTATTTTCAACTGTGTTTTGTAAGAGTGAGTGTTATCAAGGCGTGTGGGGCATTGTCTTATGAGTTGCTTTGATTACTTTCTCTTACACACTGTCCTAAGAGTCGCTTGGTCACTTTCTCTCTGTTACACACTGTTGGCAAGTACTGGGCATGTACTGGCTCCCTGTTACACACTGTTGACAAGTACTGGCTCTCTGTTACACACTGTTGACAAGTACTGGCTCCCTGTTACACACTGTTACTGGCAAGTACTGGCTCCCTGTTACACACTGTTGACAAGTACTGGCCCCTTGTTACACACTGTGACAAGTACTGGCCCCTGTTACACACTGTTGACAAGTACTGGCTCCCTGTTAACACTGTAAGTAAGTACTGGCTACACTGTTGACAAGTACTGGCTCCCTGTTACACACTGCCAGCTGGCCTGTTACACACTGTTGACAAGTACTGGCTCCTGTTACACACTGTTGACAAGTACTGGCTCTCTGTTACACACTGTTGGCAAGTACTGGGCATGTACTGGTCCTGTGGTGAAAGTATCTATATGTGAAGGCGTACCCTACCTATCCATCCACTTACCCAGCCATCCATCTATCTACCCAGCCATCCACTTACTTACCTCATTCTTACGCCCACAGCTACAGTAAATATCATCAGAAATAAATCACCTACATTTCCTCAATAAAAGTTTACATCTATAAACAACATCAAAGGTGACATCAAAGGTGACATCAAAAGGTGACATCAAAAGGTGACATCAACAGTGACATCAACAGTGACATCAACAGTGACATCAAACGTACTGTGATTTCTCGTGTGTTTTCATTGGGGGTCGGAAAGTCAGCGATATACTCGAGTCATTGAATTAACTCTCCGGAGATGAACATTACAGTATATATATACAGTAACGGGTAATATACAGTACAGTATAATGTGTTAGGTTCCAAAGATGTTCCCCTCATATGTTTCTTGGGTAATATGGTCCTTATGGATGAAGAATATTTACATAGTCAGGAGTATTTCCCGACCTCACTTAACTTACACATAATCTTATAACTAAACCACAAGTTAATAAATAATTATATCTCTATTATTAGTTTGTTGCTGTCGTATTAAAATTATGGTTAATAATTGTTTACATCTTGGAAAGGTGTGCGGCAGTTGAGGAGTTGACCGCACCTTAGTGTGTGTGTGTACTGAAGGTGTGTTAGATGCTCTACGCACCTAATTAAACGAACCTGAAGGTCGTCAGTGTAATGTGTGTGAGATTCTGAATAATACCTTCTGTTCAGTGTACCATGTAACTTTATACAGGAACACAAATTGTCGTCAGTGTAATGTGTGTGAGATTCTGAATAATACCTTCTGTTCAGTGTACCATGTATCTTTATATAAAACATTAAGTTGTACAGTATAGCGACACACTGTGCAATAATTAATACCTATGAAAATATCTTTTATCATTGGTAACAACTTTTAAAAAAGTCCAAATTGTGTTGTGGGTAAATTTACAATGAATTTATATATATTTACAATACAGTTAATAAAAACTCTTAAAAAACAGCTTATTACTGACATTATCTACAGCTGTTATGCTGTATCTAACAGGGATGCACCATTTAACGATCGTTCACTTAGCAATTTAGAATTTTTAATACCATTGGTTTTTCAACAATCTATAAATGTTTGGTTTATAAATCTTCAACTTGGTGGGAACATTGTAGTGTCAGTTTTGCCACTAAACCACTTGGAGAGGGGGTCCTATATCTGCCTATGAACCAACCTGAGTTTTAGAAATGATTTAAAAAATAATCATTAAGTCTTTACAGCAAAAAAGCAATAATGAATTTTTAGTTAACCAGAGGAGATACAGTAGGTGAAACAACTATCTCTGTATACTTTCTGGGGGGCAATATGAGACCATGGACGATAAATATTGCTATATGAGGGCTGTCACTAGTCACACGTAACATTTATGAGACCATGGACGATAAATATTGCTATATGAGGGCTGTCACTAGTCACACGTAACATTTATGAGACCATGGACAATAAATATTGGTATATGAGGGCTGTCACTAGTCACACGTAACATTTATGAGACCATGGACGATAAATATTGCTATATGAGGGCTGTCACTAGTCACAACATTTATGAGACCATCGATACATATGAGGCTGTCACTAGTCACACGTAACATTTATGGACCATGACGATAAATATTGTATATGAGGGCTGTTACTAGTCACATGGCATTTATGAGACCATGGACGATAAATATTGGTATATGAGGGCTGTCACTAGTCACCCGTAACATTTATGAGACCATGGACGGTAAATATTGGTATATGAGGGCTGTCACTAGTCACACGTAACATTTATGAGACCATAGACGATAAATATTGGTATATGAGGGCTGTCACTAGTCACACGTAACATTTATGAGACCATGGACGATAAATATTGGTATATGAGAGCTGTCAATAGTCACACGTAACATTTATGAGACCATGGACGATAAATATTGGTATATGAGGGCTGTCACTAGTCACACGTAACATTTATGAGACCATGGACGATAAATATTGGTATATGAGGGCTGTCACTAGTCACACAACATTTATGAGACCATGTCGACCCCCACCTGCACAGATAGTTGTTTTAGCTACAGTATGTCTCGAGACTTATTATATAAAGACCACATACTGTAGAGGGTATGTTAGTGGCGCCACCTATTAACCCAGGCTGTTAATACACTAGCCTTTGAACAGTCATCTGAGCCGAGCTATAGTACTGTGTATGTTATTGATCGCTGTTCATCGTTCCTGTTGTACTATTGTGTTATTGAGTACTGTACACTGTTCATTAACCTGTTCTATTGTGTTATTGAGTACTGTACACCGTTCATTAACCTGTACTATTGTGTTATTGAGTACTGTACGGACTCTTCATCCCTTAATATTTTCGACCTTATCGTAACAGAGTACACATGTAACAGAGTATGCAGATAACAGAGTACGCAGGTAACAGAGTACGCATGTAACAGAGTACGCATGTAACAGAGTACGCATGCAACAGAGTACACAGTTAACAGAGTACAAGATAATGAAGAAAATTAAGTTTATTTACCCAAAATTATGAGTTGAAGAATAACTTATGTCATAGCTAAGCCTGATCCCCTGTTTGCTGGGTGTTGCTGAGTGTTGGTGGGTGTTGGTGAGTGTTGCAGGGTGTTGAGTGACTTACCCCTGTATAAGACATTGTCATATTACTTCACATCTCTGTTAACTCGGACATCTGTCTTTCAGGAACGCATCCCGACCGCTAAATGGCGCACCTCAGTACATTACGGTATCTGGCAGGTTGTGTTGTGTTGTGTTGTAGGTAAGGCAGCTTGTGTTGAGTTGTGTTCTGTTGTTGTAGGTAAGGCAGCTTGCGTTGAGTTGTGTTCTGTTGTTGTAGGTAAGGCAGCTTGCGTTGAGTTGTGTTCTGTTGTTGTGTGTGTTGTATTTGAAGTAGAGCAGCTTGTGTTAAGTTGTGTTCTGTTGTTGTAGGTAAAAGGCAACTGCGTTGAGTTGTGTTCTGTTATTTGTAGGTACAGGCAGCTGCGTTGAGTTATGTTCTATTTATTTGCCAAATTAAGAGCCTAGCTGCGTTGAGTTGTATTCTGTTGTTGTGTTGTGTTGTAGAGCAGCTTCGTTGAGTTGTGTTCTGTTGTTGTAGGTAAGGCGGCTTGCGTTGAGTTGTGTTCTGTTGTTGTAGTAAAACTGGCTTAATGGTGAGTTGTGTTCTGTTGTTGTAGGTAAGAGCAGCTTGCGTTGAGTTGTGTTCTGTTGTTGTAGGTAGGCAACTACGCGTTGAGTTGTGTTCTGTTGTTGTGTTGTGTTGTAGGTAAGGCAGCTTGTGTTGAGTTGTGTTCTGTTGTTGTAGGTAAGGCAGCTTGCGTTGAGTTGTGTTCTGTTGTTGTAGGTAAGGCAGCTTGCGTTGAGTTGTGTTCTGTTGTTGTAGGTAAGGCAGCTTGCGTTGAGTTGTGTTCTGTTGTTGTGTTGTGTTGTAGGTAAGGCAGCTTGTGTTGTGTTGTGTTCTGTTGTTGTGTTGTTGTAGGTAAGGCAGCTTGTGTTGTGTTGCATTGTATTATATAACACATTACGTTATTATACATAAGACATATAGTTAACAATATAACAGTAGGCTGATGATGATGGTGGTAGTGTGGGCCATGGGTCACTGTGGGCAGGATCTACTCTGACCCACAGTGTGAAGGCCAACAGAGATGGTAGTAGTGTGGGCCATGGGTCACTGTGGGCAGGATCTACTCCCACAGTGGCACCATAGTGTGAAGGCCAGCATAGCGTCGGGTCACCTCGATTCTGGAGTTTCGATAAATATCTGTCGGAGAAAAACATAAAGTGAAGCTATTGAGATTTAGCCCTGAAGATATTATTACTTTCCTTTTAATACTACTTGGTCGCACTAACACTTACTATTGCATTACATATTACTACTACTACTACTATTACTACTACTATTACTACTACTATTACTGCTACTACTAATACAATAATAATAATAGTTTTGTAGCAGTAAGATTCTGGACGCGGGGACAGCGAGCTTTCTTCCACATCAGGATTTTTTATACCATGGCCGCATGTCACCGTAACCTAGCTCTCGATGCTGCACATAGGAGGAACGAGAACGACAAGATAAGGGCATATGGGGAGAGAATTCGGAACGTTGATCAAGGCAGCTTCACTCCTCTAGTGCTCACAGCCTCTGGTGGGATGGGACCAAGTGCAAGATGTTTCTACGCCAGACTCGCGGAGGTGATCTCCGAACAGAAGAAGCAGCCCAGAAGTTATGTTACAGCCTGGATGAGATGTCGACTGTCCTTCTCTCTCCTTAAGTCGGCATTGCTCTGCCTCAGGGGAACGAGAGCATTGGCCCCAAAGCCGACAACAGTTGCAGATACTGACTATGAGGCAACAGTCACTGAATGCCCCATAGATCTGCAGCTCAACACAGCTAGGATAGCTACTTATGTATTAGGATATTTAATATTAAGGTAATAAAATGGCGGCGAAGGTGTGGCTATTGGGGGAGGCTGGAGGCCACATAGTAGAGATGATACTACAGTAGTAGTAGTAGTAATATAATAATAATAATATGTATTCAGTAAAATTGTCATAAAGTTTTACAAATGGATCAGGGAATGGAGCTTGGTGATTGGCCTTAGGAATGGAGCTTTCTGATTGGCCTTAGGAATGGAGCTCTATGATTGGCCTTGGGAATGGAGCTCTGTGATTGGCCTTGGGAAAGGAGCTTTCTGATTGGCCTTGGGAATGGAGCTCTGTCATTGGTCTTGGGAATAAAGCTCTCTGATTGGTTCAATGCAGGTATACAGCTACCCTACCCTACCCTACCCTAAGCAGCTCACCTCACTCAGTATGGCCCAGTTGTCACTCTCTACGTGCACATTAAGTCTGAGGGTCTTGATCTCCCCCAGTGCTTCGTCTATCGTCCCTTCCGCCAGGCCCATGTCGTCAAAATCACCTACAACGAATTTGCATATAATTATTCACATAAAGAGATTAAATAGATATGTTTTAGGGATTAATTTATTAGATTAAGAAAATGTTACTTTGATATATCTTAAGAATAAATAATTTAATGTCTAATTATATATTAAAAAAAGATGTTCATTTGATAATAACTTAAGACATAATTGATTTAAACTCATAATTCTAAACATATTTAAAAGAAGTTAATTTTAAAATGTTCTCATATTTTTTTAACAACTACTAACTACACCAACACACTAACAACCACCACAACAACACACTAACAACCACCACAACAACACATTAACAACCACCACAACCACAACAACATACCCACAACAATATAGCCATCCTGGGTAGTCCTCAAGAGGCCTTTTTTGTAATCCTGCATCTTCTCTAGAGGTTCATTGGGCAACACTTCCACTGTTGTGTTGTACAGCCGGTCTGACGGGTGTTCCACGTTGCCGCTCCGAAAGACGAACCTGGATACGTATACACCTTAATATAGGGGACCATTATGTATTATTGTACATATGTATAATACACTCACACATACACAATACACTCACAGTAATACATACACAATACATATACATACACACACACAATACATACACAGTAATATCTCCATTGGCCAGAATCCCTCAAACCCGGAACTCTCAAATGGCCGGAATTGAAATTTTCTCGGATAATCGTTCCCAAAGCCGGAATTTTACGGAACGATTTCCCGAGGGCCACATTTTCTGGAAAACCTCGAGCAAATTTTTCCAGTACTGTACCCAGAAGATAATGTATTGAGCTATTTCTGGAAGTGTCAAGAATATTTTTCCATTACCTGGAATATTACGGGGATGGGGGATATTTTTCCAGGTTCGAGGGAGTCGTCTGGTTACCTGGAAATCTGTCATTCCTGGAAGTGTTCTGGACCAATTGTTCCAGCTAATGGAGATATTATTCAGCAATGCAATACACACAATATTCACCTAACACTTACCTAACCTACCCCAACCTTACATTAACCAAACACTAACCCAAAACTAACCTAACTATATCATTAACCCAAACTAACACTAACCTAATCTAACATTAACCTAACCTAACCCTAACCAAACACAAATCACTCACCCTTTCAAGACAACAGGCGGCTCGAAGTTAAATTTAAGTTTATCTCCTTGTTGAGGCAGTAGACCCCAGAAGTAAGATTCACCCCTGTAGGCCCGCAGTAACGTGAAGGCCTTGTAGGGTTTGATCTGCGTCTCTACGATGGCCGTCGGGTTTTGGTGCGGGAAGAATAATTGTATTTTGCCGAACTGCTTATCCTGTGTGTTGGGGTAAGTGATTAATTAGATGATAATTAATTGTGCAAGAGATGGAAGTGAATAATTTGTCCTGAAATTGATTGGAATTTATTTAGTAAAGATTGGAGTGAACATTATGGAGTATAGTAAAGATTGGAGTGAACATTATAGAGTATAGTAAAGATTGGAGTGAACATTTTAGAGTATAGTAAAGATTGGAGTGGACATTATACAGCTCCTCCCCAACTTATGACCACCCGGACTTACAACCGCCTCAGTCGTACCAAAATTTTGTCAAATTACGTATTTTCGAGTCCCGACGTCAGTGATCGCGCTGTGTACTGACAAAATTTGTGTTTGTAATTCACTTTAAAATATCTGGCAAGCTTAAAAGTGAGAGTTTTGTGGTACTGAGAAGAAAAAGAGACAACCATTTTAGATTTTCTATGTATTATTTAAGAATTTTCAACTTACGATCTGAATTTGGTTCCCTAACCCGGTCGTAAGTCGGGGAGAAACTGTGTATTAAAGATTGGAATTTATATTAAAGATTAGAATTTATATTAAAGATTAGAATTTATATTAAAGATTAGAATTTATATTAAAGATTGTTATACATATATACTAAACATTCCTACATATATATATACATTCATAAACATTTAACAAGAATCAAACCCAAAATATTACTGAGAAAAACATATAAACTGATTTAATAGTTTATGAAAGGAAAAGGTAAATGGAAGATACAAGTTATAATTGACTTAGGATTTTTATTAATGATAGTTTGACCTTTGACCTGTGACCTATACAACTTGACCTCTGTGACCTTTGTGGGTATAATATTGCAAAGAAAAGATTATAACATAGAGTTTACTGAAAGATGGGTTTGGTTAGGTTATGATAGTTTAATTTTGATTCAGTTAAATTATGGTTAGATCAGATTAAATTAAGCTTATAATGAGATGGGGTTAAATTAAGCTTATTGTCAGATTAGGTTAAATAAAGCTTATAGCCAAAATAAAATCAAACTGGAACTTAGATCACCTGAAGATTAGACATAAATCATCAATAATTATACTAAAACCAAAAAGGAATTATAGATAAGTTTTATAATCAAATCTAAATTATATATATGCAACATTACATATAATTAAGCATATTATAGATAGATAATTATTGAATGTTATACAGAACATGCATCGTAGGCTGGCAAATGATCACTGAAGCCTATAACACAACCATATATGGCTGTGTTATAGGCAGACTCACCTATAACACAACCATATAGTGTTATAGGGAGACTCACCTATAACAAACCAACCAGTTAGGTCGTTAGTACACATGCAAACTAGTGCTTCATTCATAAGGTAAAAAATACAACATTCCTGACATGCAAATGCAGTATACATGGATATATATACAGTACAGTATACATGGATATACAGTATACAGGGATATATACAGTACAGTATACATGGATATACAGTATACAGGTACATGGATATACAGTATACAGGGATATATACAGTACAGTATACAGGGATATACAGTATACATAAGCTTCTCATTCTTCATGGCTACAGTCAGTGAATGAGTGACTCAATGGTGAACAGTAATGTTTTACAGTGAGTCGAGCAGTGAGTCAGATAACAGCAGTGAGTCAGCTAACAGCAGTGAGTCAGCTAACAGCAGCGAGTCAGCTAACAGCAGTGACAGTCAGATAACAGCAGTGACAGTCAGATAACAACAGTGACAGTCAGATAACAACAGTGACAGTCAGATAACAACAGTGACAGTCAGATAACAACAGTGACAGTCAGATAACAACAGTGACAGTCTAACAGTGACAGTCAGATAACAGCAGTGACAGTCTAACAGTGAGTCAGATAACAGAAGTAACAATCAGACAACACAACACATTTAATAATGACGAACTAATGATAATGATAATGATAATGACAATAATGACAATGACAACAATGATCTATCTACTGCAGCTCAAATTTCTCTCTAAAACTGATCAAATTAAAGGAAATAAAACTAATTACTGTACTGATTATCTCAAGGAAAATATCAACATACACACTTGGTCTTATGTACTATGATTTACAAAGGTATTACTGTAAAATACTGTGTAAATTGGTGCTAGAGTTTAAGTGTCCCATTACTGTAAAGAAAATGTAAATTGATGACATTTATATTTTACGAGTTTATTTCAGGGTGTGTTGGCTTTGTTTATCAGTATGAGGGAGTCTTAGCATTTACAATCATGTCCCATTCTTGAGAAAATCCTTTGTAAATTGGGCAACACTTGAACACTTTGTAAATCTAGGTATTAATTTAAACCTTTGTAAATTGACGTAACTTGAACACTTTGTAAATCGAGAAATACTTTGTAAATTAAGTAATATATTTGACTTGCAAAAACACCATTGCCTTCACTTGTCAACGAACCAAATGTGTGACGCGATAAAGTCAGACCTCACACATCAGAAAACATTCATGAAATCTACCAAAATATATCGAAAATCTGTTAAAAAATCTGTCGAAAATCTGTCAAAAAAATCTCGAAAATCTGTCAAAAAAATCTCGAAAATCTGTCAAAAAAAATCTGTCAAAAAATCTGTCGAAAAAATCTGAATGCCAGTGTGTATATATATTTTCTGAGACACCCTGTAGCAGATTAAAACACAAACAGATTTAATGCAGGAAATTATGTAGGTGTTGCAAGGTGCTGTGATCATTCAACTCATAATGGCTTTGGTGCATTGAGTCACCTTACCTAGAGTACGCTCCTTATGTTTGGATTATCTGCTGTGATAACCTAACCTACCCTAACCTACCCTATCCTATCCTTAACCTACCCTATCCTACCCTAAACTAACCTAAACTATCCTTAACCTACCCAACCCTAAACTATCCTAACCAAACCTACCCTTAACTAACCTACCCTACCCTAAACTACCCTCCCCTACCCTACCCTACCCTGAACTACCCTACCCTACCCTAAACTATCCTAACCAACCTTAATTTTTACTTCCACAGGTGAGAAAATTATCAAATATCAACCAAAAATTCCTATTGTTTCTTAAATACTAAAGATTTCTTGTGATTGGTCCTGTGTCTCACCACCAACCAATCAACAGCCTTGTTACAAATTGACTCTAGGCCTCAGCTGCCAGGTTATAGACTATATAATTACCTGTATATAATTACCTCTATATAATTACCTCTATATAATTACCTGTCTTACCACATAATCAAGACCTGGTGACCACGTTACAGGTAAAGCTGACCTAACATGGGTGAGGTCAACTAAACTAACGTCACACTGTACTGTACTGTGCTGTGCTGTAGTGTACTGTGCTGTAGTGTAGTGTACTGTGCTTTACTGTAGTGTATTGTGCTGTAGTGTAGTGTATTGTACTCTACTGTACTGTGCTGTGCTGTAATGTGCTGTGCTGTAGTGTAGTGTAGTGTACTGTGCTGTACTGTAGTGTATTGTGCTGTAGTGTAGTGTATTGTACTCTACTGTGCTGTGCTGTAGTGTACTGTGCTGTAATGTGCTGTACTCTACTGTGCTGTAGTGTAGTGTGCTGTAGTGTAGTGTGCTGCAGTGTAGTGTGCTGTAGTGTACTGTACTCTACTGTAGCATCAAACTACCTGTTTCCTGTAGGTCTTCCTGTAGCCAAAGTTCACTCCCGGTATACCTACAGCAGATTTGTCCTGAAATTCAGTTAAATTATCTGTATTTTCATCTAGTTTAATTTAATTGTTTGTATTATATATTAACTACTGTTCTTTACCACCGCTAACAACCCTAGGACTGACTACATCTCGTCTTGGATTTTAACTCGTCGTCGTTCTCTAGTTATCGCCGATCAGCCAATCACGTCAACCCCAGGACTCGACCTTCTCTTTGGTGTTTACACTTCGTTGTTTGGATAATTCTCACCAAACCCCCGATACTGTATTTATTATTTACTTGTGTTTGGATAATTCTCACCAAACCCCCGATATTGTATTTATTATTCACTCGTCGTCACTCGGACAACACCCCATAGACCAACTCTCTCGTCGACCACAGAGATAAAATACGTCAGCCAACACAAGACTCTCAAAAAACAACACAACATCGAGAAATTGATTTAGACAACGGCCCAGTAAACACACAGGGCAGCCATGACGAATTTAACTTGGGATGTTTTATAAAGATTTAAAACTAGACCAGAGATGTTAAATTGATGTTAATAAAGATGTTAAAATACATTACATTTGCAGACAATAATTTAACATGCACATCAAGGACTTTGGACTCACATGTTATAAAGATGTTAAAATGTTAAATAGATCTATGGAATATATACATCAAGATATACAGATTATAAGCAGCTAGGAATATTAAGTGCAGTATAGACAATTGTTATACAAATTCTACCATATAAAAAAAATTGGTTTAAGATCAAATTTATCTAAAAACATCAGAACAAGGCATAAAAATGTTTAGATATATGTAAATTATATCAATTATCTTTAGAAAACATAAAAAATATATAAATTATCTTTAGAAAACGTAGAAATATATAAATTGAAGATAAGAAGCACAATGAACATAAATTAACCTGATTTATATAATCTTGGGAAAACATCAATATACATTATTATATAAATTCAGGACAAAAGGCTATATAAACTACTGGGAAAATTTAGTATAATGTTGATATTAACTTTATAAATCAAAAAGATATTATTTTTGTTGTTATTTACATGATATATTGTTTATATAGTGAAGGTGGTCAGACAGGCACGTATACTGACATAGGGGTTTTAGTGTGGGTCAGTGAATGGGTTCGTGGGGAGACAATGGGTTATGTGATAATCAGCCCACAGCTTATATCACCTGAATATTAGCTCCTATAGCCTCTGAGCTGAATAAAATCATCTGTTGTTAACCATATATTAAAAGTGTCGTGCCTGTAGTGAAGGTGTTAGTGGTGATAGTCTACTAACACCTTGTGTATGGGGTCACCTCTGTTGTTAACCATATATTAAAAGTGTCGTCCCTGTAGTGAAGGTGTTAGTGGTGATAGTCTACTAACACCTTGTGTATGGGGTCACCTCTGTTGTTAACCATATATTAAAAATGTCGTCCCTGTAGTGAAGGTGTTAGTGGTGATAGTCTACTAACAACTCCCACACACCCACACACTCCCCCCACACACCAACACACTTCACACACTCACCTTTAACTTCTGCACTTTGCCCTTGAGAGATGAGTGCGTCCCTATGTGTTGAAAGAGGGAAGGTTTGAAGTGGATCCAGACATTTTCCTTTGCCTTTTTGCAGTGTTTCTGGTCAGTAAACAGAACGAGAAGTTGACAGATCAGCTTAGGGTTCAGTTAGGTTAGGTTGGGCCAAAATATTTAATAGTTTATGATACAATATGGCCAAAATATTTAATACTATATGATACAATATGGCCAAAATATTTAATAGTTTATGATACAATATGGCCAAAATATTTAATATATGATACAATATGGCCAAAATAATTCATCTTGACTTTTGCAATAAATAAAAGTAATATATCAATAAATTGTTACATGCGGATTAATATAGGCTTATATAGGCAGTCATGCTTAGGCCTATAGGGACAGGTATATATCACCATGCACAGAAGCTCAGTGGCTATAGCATAAGAGGTGCAGATACGAACAAGCAGCTGTGCTATACAAGGCTGTCTGGGTAACTGTGCAAAGGTTAAACGACCATCAATTACCTGTGTCTTCATTTGGGAGATCAATTAGGCTTATGAGGTGTTATAGACAAGTTACCTTTGTTGGAATTATATTAATGTCATACAGATTAATTATGGTTTTAGGTAATATAATGTGTAGTAATGTCTTTGATACTAGATACCTTCAAGGTGATATAGTAATAATTATGGTCGTCAAGTCAATTATATTTTGTTGAAATTATATAATTATGCTGTTCAAGGTAATAATAATTTAGGTATTGAAATAAATTACCTTTATGGAGAATCAATGTAATTATTATAGTTTTTGGGTTTGTGGTCAAAATTATTAATAATGTAATAATATTGTTTGTACTCTGCCATCCATACACACACACACAATAACAAAGTGTGAGGCCAGACATACTGCTTCACACTCCTGTACTAACAAAGTGTGAGGCCAGACATACTGCCTCACACTCCTGTACTCACGCATTTGTGAATAAGTTACGCTTTATGTATAGAACTAAACAAATAATGTAAATGAAATACTGTGTAACATTCAGTGCCATAATATCCTGACAACGGGGGTTAATTATTATGACCCGTTGTAAACTCTACTCTGTAATCCTTTTGCGCTACCGCTCACAGGATGAGTGTGGGGTGCACAATAAAGTAGCCGCTGTACGGGGCAAAATCAAAAATCAAATCACACACACACTGGTAATGGAGTATCATCCAACTATGATACAATGATATGAGTTATTAAGGATGTCACCTTCGTTGGTGAGTTCTGAGGTGACTAAAGAGGCCGATACGGGACCGGCAGTCATCCACAAATGTTGCAGGTGTGGGTGGCTACATCTAGTGCGGGAGGGGAGGCGGCAGCGTCTTTCTGCCGTTGGCGCTTGTCTGCCTCGGTATACAGTCGGGCTAACTCCACAGTATTGACACCATCTTGTGTGGTGCTCCCCCAAGCGTTATGGTGTGGAGTAATTGTCTCCCAGGTGAGGCGACTTTTTCATGTTTGTCTTAAGACTATCCTTATACCTCTTCAGTTGCCCGCCAGCGCTACGTTTATTATCAGTTAGGTGACTGTAAAGTAGCTTTCCATGGCCAGTCTACTGTCACTCATGACCAGTCCAGCGTAGTTGTTCATGGATAATGGTAGCCTCGATGCTCCTACAGATGATGTCAGCAAGAATACTGGCATTTGTTCTCTTGTCTTCCCAGCGAACTCGGAGGATGGAACATAGACTACGTTGGTAAAAGTTATCAAGTCCCTTGAGGTGCCTCCTGTATGTGACCCATGTCTCACTGCCATACAGCAGGGTGGGGAGGACCACTGCTCGATATACGTGTAACTTTGTAGATAATTTCAGCTCCCAACAGCTGAAGACACGGGTATAGAGTCTGCCAAAGGCTTGAGATGCACAGGTGATCTGATGCTGAATCTCTTCATCGATGTCCGCAGTGGTGGACAGGTGGGAGCCGAGATACTGGAAGTGGGTAACATTAGAGCGGATAGTACTGTTAAGCTGGGTGGATGGTGGAGGTGTGGCTGAACCAGGGGCAGGCTGAGAGAGAATCTGAGTCTTACGTACATTCACCTCAAAGCCGAAAAAGGGATAAGCATCTGCGTAGGTGTTCAGGATCTCCTGTAGGTTGCGTTCAGTGTGAGCGACAAGGGTGAGGCCGTCTACATACTGAAGTTCAGTAATGGAAGCTGCCGTCTACATACTGAAGTTCAGTAATGGAAGCTGCCGACACCTTTGTTCCTGCCTGGAGTAGTCTTATGATGAAAAGACCCTCAATCCGGCACTGGATGTCCACCCCGCCGGCTAAATTGGCACTGGCACGAGTAAGGAAGGCAGCCAAGAAAATGGAAAGGAGAGTTGGTGCCAGTACACACCCTTGTTTAACCCCCGTTTGGATGGGGAACAACTCAGACTGGGTGCCATTGTGGAGTTGCCTCACAATGGCGATGAATTTTGGTGGGCAGCCAAAGCAGCTGAGGGTCCACCAGAGGGCAGGAAAGATCTTGTCAGTGGCCACATGATGGTCTAAAGTCTTAGGAAGAAGTCTGTTTAGGAGGACTCGGGCGATAATCTTGCCAGGTCTTGTGGTCTTCACTAAACTTCACCAAATTATAATTCAGTTTATTTTGACCATTTTTTGTTATCGCCTTCGCCGGAGAAACAGCGTAAAATCCTTAACCATGTTGTGTTGTATTACATCAAACTTCGACTCCTCTCACTGTTGCATCAGCCTAAGGCATTATATGGGTTAAGTTAGAGTGACAATCTTTGTGTTGCTCCATTAATATGTCTTTGTTATTTAGCTGTTCTGATCCCAAGTATCCTGTATGTTTGGCTATGTGTGTAACAGCAGCATATATGTATGTATATATGTATGTATATAACATGTTTAGGGGCAGCTGTGGGAAACTTATTTTGTAATACTTAATAAAATAATATTTCAACGCAACAAAACTCCAAGGCTATAAGCGCAACAAAACTCACGGCTATAAGCGCAGCAAAACTCCGGCTATAAAAGCGCCTTAAGCTACGGCTATAAGCAGCAAAACTCCCGGCTATAAGCGCAGCAAAACTCCACGGCTCATGCCAGCAAAACTCACGGCTATAAGCATAGCAAAACTTGAAAAAATGTGCAAAAAGTCATTCATTAGAAATATATACTTAAAAATTAGTTTATAATTATATTTTTGAAGTTAGATTGAAGCCAAGACAGTCTGTTAACATATAAGGATTGGAGGTTTAGCTTGAGACTCATGAGCTAACCTTGTGAAGTGTGTGTGTGTGTGTGTGTGTGTGTGTGTGTGTGTGTATGGGTGTAGATGTGGCATGTGTGGGAATGTATGTATCTATGTATGTTAATCTGTGTGGGTGTGGAAATATGTGCATACAATATGTGCGTACAGTATGTGCACGTGTTCATGTGTATTTATGTACGTACGCCTTCACCATACACTCAAAGCTCTTTCATAACATTATTTACTGAACATAAAATCTATTCTCAGATCTTGGCAACTTTTAACAAAATTATTATCTTAGTAAAATATCCACATAATAATTAACTCTAGACAGCTCCTCCCCAACTCATAACCACCCCGACTTACGACCGCCTCAGTCGTACCAAAATTTTGTCAAATTACGTATTTTCGAGTCCCGACGTTAGTGATTGCGCTGTGTACTGACAAAATTTTCGTTTATAATTCACTTTAAAATATCTGGCAAGCTTAAAAGTGAGAGTTTTGTGGAGCTGAGAAGAAAAAGGGACAACCATTTTAGATTTTATATGTATTATTTAAGTATTTTTGACTAACGACCTGGATTTGGGTCCCTAACCCCGTCGTAAGTCGGGGAGGAGCTGAATATAGAATTAGATATAAAATTAATCATTGTATTTATGTAAAAGATTAATTAAATCATTTTTGGGGGAATTAAAACTTAAGTGTTTTGATTATACTTAGGATATTATGAAGTGCGGTGGAACCTCAATAAAACGGACTTCTCTATCTATATGATGTAAAGGGCCCTCGATATAATGGACTTTCACCTCAATATAGTTCATTAAATGGAGGTTTTATATCTAACGGACCCTCAATATAATGGACTCTGATCTATATAGTTCCTTAAATAGAGGTTTAACTGCAGCAACACATAAAACTAACATTAACAAGTTATATTAATGTTAATATCTCTGAGAATTTCCTTGGTAACTACTTAAGAGGTTTTACTATTGGTGGTAACAAGCCCTAACTACCGTCTGTATCACTTAAATACATAACTACAAGTGCATCACACTAAGTCGTTTACACTCAGGAAGAAAGCAGATTGGTGGAGCTCGTACAGGGTGACTCAGAAGACTTTATACACGTGGCCATGTTAATGTGGATGTTTGTTCAGTGTTACAAGAACAACATTGTCCTGATTTGATGTGTGAACAGTGTTGGTGATGTAACACGAACACTCACAGATCTCTCTAGGACCACAAGTGTAAAGCTTCTCCGGGTCAACTGGTACAAGAGGTGCAGTATACGCCAGCGCGGTGCCTTGGGTGAGCGGGGATATTCTCAACCCCTGAGGCCAAACTCAACAACACTTAAATCTGGAAGCGTTTGTTGACATACAGCGAAACCTCGATATAATGGACGTAACTCTCCTTCTAATCTGTTATATGGGGGGTTTAACATCTAGCGAACCCTCGATATAATGGACGTATCTCTCCTTCTAATCCGTTATATGGGGGTTTAACATCTAGCAAACCCTCGATATAATGGACGTATCTCTCCTTCTAATCCGTTATATGGGGGTTTAACATCTAGCGAACCCTCGATATAAGGGATTTTCCTCTGCATAGTCCAGTATATAGAGGTTTCGCTGTTTGTATATCAGATAAAAGGCGTAGCATAATTCTCTTAACGTTTACCAAGAATAATCATATTTTATTCCTACGTTGATCTGGTAACAGTGGTCTTAGTACAGTGTTACCAAACCAGTGGTCTCAGTACAGTGTTACCAAACCAGTGGTCTCAGTACAGTGTTACCAAACCAGTGGTCTCAGTACAGTGTTACCAAACCAGACATAATAGTAATTCTTCTTAGTAACTCAACTAAATCTTTTCCTTTACTTATGAATGACAAAAGTTCCTGAGTCTTAACTAATTTAAGTCTATTTGATGATAATTCTTTGTTAATAAGTATTTTTGGGTCTAATTTTACCCTAGTAGATTATAAACATATTTTCCAAACTAAAAGATGTACGTAAGAGCCAAACTAGATTACAAGTTGTACAGGAGACACTTCTTAAAGTTCATAAGTAGAGGAGAACTTGCGACGGCCTGTAGTTAAGTGAATAATGAGCCATTGTAATAGGTGTAAAGACCAAACCAGGCATGAGGTAGTTTAGCCTGGTCAAGACGTACCGACGGCTGGTCAAATCGGCACACTTTGTTTTGAATGAGATGGTCAAGGAGCCAATCACACGGCTTGTCGTTATGAAAGATGAGTAAGAACGTGACCAGTGCTGACAGGTCTATGGTCTTGAAACACTTGCCTGGAATGTGACGCATTTTAACCAGTGGTGTGTGGTGTTAAGTGGTGTATGGTGTTAAGTGGTGTATGGTGTTAAGTGGTGTATGGTGTTAAGTGGTGTATGGTTGGTGTGTTAAGTGGTGTGTGGTGTTAAGTGGTGTATGGTTGGTGTGTTAAGTGGTGTATGGTGTTAAGTGGTGTATGGTTGGTGTGTTAAGTGGCCAATAGTAACTATGGTTGTATTCTCCTGAAATATTATAGCATATAAACAGCCAGAAGTAGAACTCAAGTGGGACATCAACTCAAGTAGGACCACAACTCAAGTAGGACCTCAACTCAAGTAGGACCTCAACTCAAGTAGGACCACAACTCAAGTAGGACCTCAACTCAAGTAGGACCACAACTCAAGTAGGACCTCAACTCAAGTAGGACCACAACTCAAGTAGGACCACAACTCAAGTAGGACCACAACTCAAGTAGGACCACAACTCAAGTATAACTCAAATTTTGTCAGTAAAAGTCCTATAAGCTAAGTACAAGTTCAGTAAGTTAACAGCTAAGTTTTGTCAGTAAAGGTCCCATAAGTTCATTAAGCTAACAATTGTCTCTATATATAAACTTGAAGCTGAAAAATAATAAACATCTTGCGTTAAAAAAGTCCTCATGTATTTATTAAAATCACCTTTACACCCCATAGTTAGTTCACACATTTTATCTACGTTTGAACTGTTTCTTTACGGCTCAGGGAGGGGGGAGGGGGGAGAGGGGGGGAGAGGGAGAGAGAGGGGGAGAGAGAGAGGGGGAGAGAGGGAGAGGTAACTGTAGCTCTCTCCTCTCCCTACAGTGTGTGTTGGGGACATTACCAAGTTAACCTGTAGCTTCTAAATCATTATCTGAGGTTTTATTTAACGCGACACAGATTACAGATGACTTTTATAACCTGGGATATGGACACCTTTGGGGTCTATTGCGACTGGGGTCTATTGTGACTGGGGTCTATTGGAACTGGGATCTATTGTGACTGGGGTCTATTGGAACTGGGGTCTATTGGAACTGGGGTCTATTGGAACTGGGGTCTATTGTAACTGGGGTCTATTGCAACTAGGGTCTATTGCAACTGGGGTCTATTGCAACTGGGGTCTATTGGAACTGGGGTCTATTGGAACCTAATTGACTTGTAACTAATAATTCATACACTCCTCGTCCCTCTCCCTATAAATACAGCATACACTCAACAAGGATACAGTACTGTAGTTAAAATACATTAGATAAATACAAGAGAATACAAGTCATGCTCTGTAGCCCATCACCTGAGGGGGAAGTTACTGTACATGCCATTACAGACTGACACAGGTTACAGCCATTCCATCGAGAGGGGGGAGGGGGGAGGGGAGGAGGGAGGAAGGGGGGAGGAGGAGGAGGAGGGGAGGGATACAGGTTTAGAGAATACTTAAAATTACTTAAATTATGAGTATTTTAGGAAGACTTTCGAGTAGGACCTTGGGACAGTTACGAGCATTCGAGTAGGACCTTGGGACAGTTACGAGCATTCGAGTAGGACCTTGGGACAGTTACGAGCATTCGAGAAGGACCTTGGGACAGTTACGAGCATTCGAGAAGGACCTTGGGACAGTTATGAGCATTCAAGTAGGACCTTGGGACAGACAGCCATTCCACCAGACACCAAGAGGATATACAGGGTGGAGCAAGAACAATTTACAAGTAGAAGGCCTCAAGAGTATTCATATACGTGTCATTTACTTTTGAACCACCCTGTACATGCAGTTAATAAGGTCATACAGGGTGAAACAAGAAAATGACACTTACGAGGTCTTAAAATACCCATATATATACATAAGTTACTTTTGAACCACCCTGTACAAGCAGTTAATTACACTAATCGTTCACCAGTTTGTTAGGATAGTTAGGTATACCAGTTACAGGGTTTAATGTGTGTGTCCGTCTTCTGCTGTTAGTTCTCTGACCCACCTGGACCAATAGCATTACTCAATGAAGCCTTAACAACTCTCAGGTCGTTATAGACAATGCTGCATTAACCACCGATGATTATTATTCATTATTTTTTTTAATTTTTTGGGGATTTATAAAAAAGATGAAAGTTTTGATTGATATACAAGATACATTCTGCACCAACGACCTGGCATAATCACTTAACGATCACAGTAGACTTTATATATTACATCACAACATCGTTAATTGTGTTAGTGTAGACGACATCAAACATCAAGTATGGACGATGTCGTTGTCGTCATAAAGAACTCGAGCGATCGCTACGGGAATCTATAAAACATTAAGTTAAGTACGTTAAGTTAAGTTAGGTTAGGTTACGTTAGGTTAGGGTTAAGTTATGTTAGGTTAGGGTTAAGTTACGTTAGGTTAGGGTTAAGTTAGGTTAGTATAGAAGAGGGCTTATGGCTTATGTACCAGGCCATTACTGAACACAACACCAGGTGGGTTATGAGCCCCTAACAACACCAGGTGGGTTAGGAGTCACTAACAACAACACAACACAACACATCACAACTTACAGTGTCTTTGTCCAAGCTACAACTCTTCGTCTGTATCAGATAGTCAAGGAGCCAGTCGACGGGTTTATCATTATAGAACATTATAAAGAACTGAACCAAGTACGGCAGTTCTACACATTTGAACATTTTACCTGTGGACATATTGGTTAATGACAACAGGTGGTGATAACAGGTGTACACAGGTGACTTGATGATTAATGATGATGCCAACAGGTGTACACAGGTGACTTGATGATTAATGATGATGCCAACAGGTGTACACAGGTGATATAATGATTAATGATGATGCCAACAGGTGTACACAGGTGACTTGATGATTAATGATGATGCCAACAGGTGTACACAGGTAATATAATGATTAATGATGGTAATAGCAGGTGTACACAGGTAATATAATGATTAATGATGGTAATAGCAGGTGTACACAGGTGATATAATGATTAATGATGGTAATAGCAGGTGTACACAGGTAATATAATGATTAATGATGGTAATAGCAGCTGATTAAATAATAATCCCTTAACACTCAAAAACATTCAATAAAAGTTATCTCAATAATAAAAACCTATCCATTATTATGTTTTTTAATAGACCAAGACAACATTGTTCTGTGTTTGTGAGTAAATACTAAATATTATAGATAAATTAAACCTATAAACCGCAGCTGGCAAATGTCAAGGATTTATGAGTTAAAACTACATATTATAGATAAATTTAAACCTACCTATAAACCGCAGCTGGCAAATGTCAAGGATTTATGAGTTAAAACTACATATTATAGATAAATTTAAACCTACCTATAAACCCCAGCTGGCAAATGTCAAGGATTTATGAGTTAAAACTACATATTATAGATAAATTTAAACCTACCTATAAACCCCAGCTGGCAAAAGTCGAGGACAAACCAATTTTTCTTCTCCGATGTTTTCTGCAGAGCGAACTTCTTCATGGTGGCTATATAACCTTTCTTGGTCTGTATGTCATCTTCTAGCTGCACGTAGAATGTCCCCTTAGGCTGTGCGTACATCATCAGGAACATAAAGTCCAGATTCTGCTTCGTTCTCCATCTGTGAGGTGTGTGGGGTGTGTTTCCTGCACCATACGTCTGTGAGGTGTGTGGGGTGTGTTACTCTACGCATACACGTCTGTGAGGTGTGGGGGTGTGTTACTCTACTGCACCATACCGTCTGTGAGGGTGTGTGGGGTGTTACTCTACTGCACCATACACGTCTGTGAGGTGTGGGGGTGTTACTCTACTACCATACACGTCTGTGAGGTGTGTTACTCTACTGCACCATACACGTCTGTAGGTGTGTGGGGGTATGTTGCTCTACTGCACCATACACGTCTGTGGTGTGTGGGGTGTACTCTACTGCACCATACCGTCTGTGATGTGTGGGGGTGTGTTACTCTGCACCATACACGTCTGTGAGGTGTGTGGAGTGTTACTACTACTGCACCATACACGTCTGTGAGGTGTGGGGTGTGTTACTCTACTGCACCATACACGTCTGTGAGGTGTGGGGTGTGTTACTCTGCACCATACACGTCTGTGGTGTGGGGTGTGTTACTCTACTGCACCATACACGTCTGTGAGGGTGTGGGGTGTTACTCTACTGCACCATACACGTCTGTGAGGGTGTGGGGTGTGTTACTCTACTGCACCGTCTGTGAGGGTGGGGGTGTTACTCTACTGCACCACATCTGGTTTCATGACTCTCGAGAAATGTTTATAGAGGATCACAAACTTATTTACAGATAAGATGGAAATTATTCCATTAAAATTCCAAGACAATTACAATTCCAGCTAAAGTATATATTACCATTTGTTGTGGTACAGTATATTGATGAGCCTGTACAGTAGGTCAGACAACTATCTGTGTTTACTTTGTGGGGACAATATGAGACCATGGACGATAAATATTGGTATGTGAGGGCTGTCAGAAGCACACGTAACATTTATGAGACCATGGACGATAAATATTGGTATATGAGGGGCTATCTCACGCCGTAACATTTATGAGACCATGGACGATAAATATTGGTATATGAGGGCTGTCACTAAGTCACCGTAACATTTATGAGACCATGGACGATAAATATTGAAATATGAGGGCTGTCACTAGTCACGTAACATTTATGAGACCATGGATGATAAATATTGGTATATGAGGGCTGTCACTAGTCACACGTAACATTTATAAGACCATGGACGATAAATATTGGTATATGAGGGCTGTCACTAGTCACACGTAACATTATGAGACCATGGACGATAAATATTGGTATGAGGGCTGTCACTAGTCACACGTAACATTTATGAGACCATGGACGATAAATATAGTATATGAGGGCTGTCACTAGTCACACGTAACATATATGAGACCATGGACGATAAATATTGGTATATGAGGGCTGTCACTAGTCACACGTAACATTTATGAGACCATGGACGATAGTTGTTTAACTACTGTACACATGTTCATTACACCTGCCACACTAAACCATAAATAACTTTCCAGACAACGAACTACGGAACGACAGGAACAGGAAGAACGACAATACTACCTGACGCGTTCCATGGGGTCACCAAGAGTCTGTCTCAGTTTATTCATGTTAGGGTAGAAGGTCTGGGGTGGAGATATAACTTCAAGTAATCCACTCTCAAGATGTTCCAGGAATCTGTACCAAGAGTTAAGATAAATAAATATTGAAGTGATAACCGTGGTGAGATGAAGTGATAACAGTGGTGAGATGAAGTGGTAACAGTGGTGAGATGAAGTGGTAACAGTGGTGAGATGAAACCATGGTGAGATGATGGTAACAGTGGTGAGATGAAGTGGTAACAGTGGTGAGATGAAGTGGTAACAGTGGTGAGATGAAGTGGTAACCATGGTGAGATGAAGTGATAACAGTGGTGAGATGAAGTGGTAACAGTGGTGAGATGAAGTGGTAACAGTGGTGAGATATAGTGGTAACCATAGTAACATGTTCTTATTATCACCATGCTATTGCACTATTGATACTAAATGTTACATAATACTTCCTTGAGATAAATGTATAGTATATATCAGGTGCCTCAAAGAGAGCTCAGGTTCTCAACTGGCTCAACCATGTTAATATTATTATCCACTCTGTATCTGTGTTTTTAACGCTAAATAAACTGTTTCAATACAATTCAAACTAGATATTTGTAGGTTTTGTGCTGTAGGTGATGGATCAACTGAAGATTAGACACCCTAGTTTATCACCTGAACATTAGACACCCTAGATATATATTTGCACTGTCTATATACATATACTAACATTGATAATTTTACTTAATAGCTATATATCTATACACTTACTTCTTCTCTATCTGGGCGGCCACTTGTCGGACATATTCAAGGTCCCACTGAAAAAATAAATAATTAGTCATATATATTGTAAAAGGCTATAGTCTGACAATTATAGTTCATAATATTGTACAGTAATAATGGTACAGTTCTATAATTACTTCATTAACACTAATTACTTTTTTTTTAATATTATAGTAATTATTTTATAACTAATTCTTTTTTAATATTCTAGTAATTATTTCTATTAACACTAATTACTTTTTTATTACTAATTATCAGCCAACTATTATTTTTCAAGGTAATTTTTAAGTGTTTTTGTTAATTACTGAATATAGACCTTATAATTGTTTTGACATTCTGAGATAATGAAGTGATTTTGGGCCTAGAATCAGATAAACCATAACCTTGACCAACATAACCTCGCCAACATAACCTTGACCAACACACCTCGACCAACATAACCCTGGCCAACATACCCTCGCCAACTCACCAACACACTTCGAAGACGCATAATGTCTCTCATTCTTCGAGCGTCATGGAGTCTATGAGGTTTCTTAGGGTCGTCATGAGGTAACTTTGGACCTGTCTCTTGACTGTTGGTACACCCAGAACCATGGTGGCTGTAGGGAGAGGAACGACCTATTAGTGTATATCTCTCTCTCTCTCTCTCTCTCTCTCACCATTATCACCACTATTAAAAAACCTTTTCTTTGGGTTAGGTTGTAGTGGTAGTGGTGGTAGTAGTGGTGGTGGTGGTGGTGGTGGTGGTGGTGGTGGTGGTGGTGGTGGTGGTGGTGGTGGTGGTGGTGGTGGTGGTGTGGTGGTGGTGGTGGTGGGTACTGGTGGTAGTGGTGGTAGTGGTGGTGGTGTAGTGGTGGTGGTGGTGGTGTAGGGTAGTAGTAGTGGTAGTGGTGATAGTAGGTGGTGGTGGTGGTGGTAGTGGTGGTACTGTGGTAGTGGTGTTGGTGGTGGTGGTAGGGTGGTGTGGTGGTAGTGGTGATAGTGGTGGTGGGGACAAAGCCTCTTATCGGAGCCAATGATACCTAGCCAGTGGCCACTGAAATTTACTCTCTTCTGACACCATTGTAAAAGCTGTCCAAAGGTTCCACTGTAACTACAGGTGTGTGTACTGTGTGTGTGTACTGTGTGTGTATGTCTGTGTGTACTGTGTGTGTGTGTGTACTGTGTGTGTGTGTGTACTGTGTGTGTGTGTGTGTACTGTGTGTGTGTGTGTGTACTGTGTGTGTGTGTACTGTGTGTGTGTACTGTGTGTGTGTGTGTGTGTACTGTGTGTGTGTGTGTGTGTGTGTGTGTACTGTGTGTGTGTACTGTGTGTATGTCCTGTGTATGTATTTACGAGGTGTACAGTATATGTATATTTATTTGTATGTATGTATGTACGTAGACTTCTGTACTGTATGTATGTGCAGGGTTATGTACGTTTATTTAGGCTTATGTGTATATATTCATGTACGTTTCTGTATACACACATAGCTTGACATCGTTCTCGTGACCTCTCAACAGGATATTGAGAGGTCGCTTGGCCTCTGTACAGGATATTAGGATGTGGTGTCCAGGATGAGGTATACACTGGCCGTCCTATGACCCTTCAGGATGGTGGAGGATGGTGAAGGATGGTGCAGGATTGGTGCAGGATGGTGCAGGATGGTGTAGGATTGGTGGAGGATGGTGAAGGATGGTGCAGGATGGTGTAGGATTGGTGGAGGATGGTGTAGGATTGGTGTAGGATGGTGCAGGATGGTGCAGGATGGTGCAGGAGGCAGGATGGAGGATTGGTGGAGGAATGGTGTAGATGGCAGGATTCAGGATGGTGCAGGATGGTCGAGGATGGTGCAGGATGGTAGTAATGCTGTGAGTAGGATGCTTATAGTGTGAAGGAGCCTATTATTATTATTATTATTATTATTATTATTATTATTATTATTATTATTATTGTTATTATTATAGGCGAGTCAATACAATTTAGAACGAGAGAGAGAGAGAACATTTACCAGAATGCCTTCCTTTGGACAGCTTGAAGGCCGGGGTAGGCAGCGGGGGTGTGCAAGAGGTGCGGCAGGTAGCTGTAGATTGAGGGAGGTATATCTGAGGTCTGGCTGAGGTTGACCAGTAGTTCTCTTGTCTCTTGCGATAATGATGTCCTGAAGGCTGACTTGTTGTTGATGTCTGAAAGAAAATGATGTTTGTTAGTTTGGGTAGTGGTAGGGTAGTGGTAGGGGTGTGGTAGGGGTAGTGGTAGTGGTAGGGTAGTGGTAGGGGTAGTGGTAGGGTAGTGGTAGGGTAGTGTAGTGGTAGGGGTAGTGGTAGGAGTGGTAGGTAGTGTAGGGTAGTGGTAGTAGGTAGTGGTAGGTAGTGGTAGTGGTAGGTAGTGGTAGGTGGTAGGGTAGTGGTAGTGGTAGGGTAGGTAGTGGTAGGTAGTGGATGGTAGGTAGTGGTAGGGAGGTAGGGTAGTGGTAGGGTAGTGGTAGGGTAGTGTAGTGGTGGGTAGTGGTAGGTAGTGGTAGGGTAGTGGTAGGGGTAGTGGTAGGGGTGGGGTAGTGGTAGTGGTAGGGTGGTAGGGTAGTGGTATGGTAGGTAGTGGTAGGGTTATTGACCTTATGTAGGGCGATAGTCAGCTCAGGGGTACACACCAGGTTAATTAACAGACGGGGTCACACCTGGATAACTAGAGGTACTGCACACCTGGTTGGCTAAGTAAGGGTAGTTGGCTAATTACTCACCTGTCTGCATAATTAAGGGTAGTTGGCTAATTAAGGGTAGTTGAATAATTAAAGGTAGTTGGATAATTACTCACCTGGCTGGCTACTCATCACCTGGTTGCATTACTCACCTGGCTGGCTAATTACTCACCTGGCTGGCTAATTACTCACCTGGCTGGCTAATTACTCACCTGGCTGGCTAATTACACCACCTGGCTGGCTAATTACTCACCTGGTTGGCTAATTACTCACCTGGTTGGATAAGAACGTTGAACTTGTGACAGTAGAATAACATCCTGTAGCCGTTCTTGGTTGATCATCTCAGCGTGACGGAGCCGTTCACGAAGCTCTGCCATCCTCTGTACCAGCTCTTGTTCCCCACCAGATCTGTAACACACCCGTAACACACCTGTAATACTCCTGTACACTTGTAACACACCTGTAACATACTTGTAACATACTGTAACACACCCGTAACACACCTGTAACACACCTGTAATACTCCTGTAACACACCTGTAACATACTTGTAACATACTTGTAACACACTCGTAAAACACCGTAACACACACACACACACTTGTTGGTTTCTCGTCTGTAACACACCTGTAACACTCACACCTGTAACACTCACACCTGTAACACACACCTGTAACACTCACATGGTAGTTTTTTTAGGTCAGGTGTGTGGTGAAGGGGACAATGTATGAGCTCTCTCTCTCTTAATTAGCTAAACACCTACCACACACCTGACCCCCCACACACACCTGCCCCACACACAATCAACCACCACCATCCACCACCACTACCACCATCAACCACCATTAGCACCAGTACGGGCGGAACACACCATTACCGCCTCGCCCGCAGACACGGTCATTATGTTGCTAATGGTGAGATAACTACCGTGATGACGCCCACCCAGAGCCGCCCACACTCACGCCCACCCACACACCCACCCACCTGGCTCCTCATTGGTCCATACCTTGTCACCATTGCTCGCTATCTGGCTGCTCATTGGTCAACAGCCCTCAGGTCAAGGTCACGACACATATATATATATATTGTAGGTCAGTCAGTCAGTCAGCCAGTCAGTCAGTCAGTCAGTCAGTTAGTCAGCCAGTTAGTCAGCCAGTCAGTCAGTCAGTTAGTCAGCCAGCGAGTCAGTCAGCCAGTCAGTCAGTTAGGCAGCCAGCCAGTCAGTCAGCCAGCCAGCGAGTCAGTCAGTACTTTTTACCTCCCCTTCCCTTCCTTCCTCCTCCCCTCCCCCTCCTCCCTCCTCCCTTCCATGCCCTTCCCCTTCCCTCCTCCTTCCTCCCCCTCCCTCCTCCCCTCCCTCCCTCCCTTCCCTCCCTCCCCTCCTCCTCCTTCCCTCCCCCTCCCCTTCCTCCCCCTCCCCTCCCTCCCCCTTCCTTCCTCCCTCCCCTCCCCTTCCCCTCCCTCCCCTCCCCTCCCCCACCCTCCCCCTCCCTCCATCCCCCCAAAATATCTAAAGTTTTCTACCAATATTCTTATTAGCCACCCTTAGTGATACGCTTAGCCACACCCACACCTACTAGCCACACCATAGCCACACCCACACCTACTAGCCACCCTTAGCCACACCCACCCTACTAGCCACACCCACACCTACTAGCCCACACCCCACACCACTAGCCACACCCACACACCCTGCCACACCCCTTAGCCACACCCACACACCCTACTAATACACCCACACCCTACTAGCCACACCCACACACCCTACTAGCACACACATAGCCACACCCCACGCTTAGCCACACCCACACCTACTAGCCACACCCTTAGCCACACCCACACCTACTAGCCACACCCTTAGCCACACCTACTAGCCACACCCTTAGCCACACCCACACCTACTAGCCACACCTACTAGCCACACCCTTAGCCACACCCACCAGATCACGTGCCGGCCACCCTAACAATCCAATTACTGAGTGAACCTTCCCTTCTTATACATACTTCATTACATACACACACGGATATTTACGTACATATATCCTGCGTTCACGTATACATACATTAGACAGACATACATACATACATACATACATACATACATACATACATACATACATACCAATAAAGGCATTAAATAAACATTCTATACTTTTGTTTATTTACATATATAATGATCTTGTAATTGATTGGTTGGTATAGTAGACGTCATAGTACCCGAGAACCAATGGGGAGAGCAATATCTGACGTCATGGGGACAGAGAACCAATGATCATATGACGTCATTGAAGCCGAGAACCAATCACCACAAACCATAACAAGCAAAGATCACGACCACACATCAATATGACGTCACAACAAGTGAGGACCTATCAGTGCCCGCCACGTCACGCCTAAGAGGAAACTCAACCAATAGGAGTATATGTAAACACGACAATGCCACATGGACACCCAATTAGGTTATATAAATTAGTAATTAATATAAACTATGGCGTGGCTGACAGACAGACAGACAGACAGTTAAACAGACAGACAGACAGAGACTTACCTGGATTACTTACGAAGAACAGAACAAACGCAGGTGTTAGCAGGACGGCAGTGAACACGACTCCGAGACGCCTCCGTAACATTCTGCCCACACTGTAAGGATAACAATGGTGGTAGTGGTGGTGGTGGTGGTGGTAGTGGTGGTGGTAGTGGTGGTGGTGGTAGTGGTGGTAAATATAGGTTATAACAACAAGAGACAATAAACACCATTAGTATCGCCTGCCTCACTAGTTCGCCAGCACAAGCACTTACCATCGCCAGATACTCACTCACACACTTTAGTAAACAGCTTCAGTAAACATCTATATTATCTACGTCATTAACTCCTGTGTGTGTGTGTGTGTGTGTGTGTGTGTGTGTGTGTGTGTATGTATGTATTTATGTATGTATGCATGTATGTATGTATGTATGTATATGTGTCAGAGCCTTCACTGAAACATGGATCAACCTGGACTCACGTGAGTTACCTGTGAGTTACCGGTCGAATACCAAATAGCGGGTTACAAATTACTATTCCATACTGATAAACGGATTAGGAAAGGAGGAGGAGTTAGCAGTCTATGTCAGGGATAATCTGAAGTGTGAAATAAATAAGGAAAGAAAAACTGAGTGGGATACAGGAACAATTTGGATAGAATTAATCGACGGTAGATATAAATTAATCACAGGAGTATTATATAAACCTCCCAATCTTGATAGAGTGAAGGAGAGACTTATCTGGGATGACATGCGCAGGGCTTCCATACACAACAAAGTCTGTATAGTAGGCGACTTTAACCTTGGCCAAATAGATTAGACTGACCTTACGGGTAACTCAGTATCAGAGGATCTTCTTGAAACGATCCAGGACTGTTTCCTAAGTCAATATATAACTGAACCCACCCGGGATAATAATATACTCGATTTAGTTGGGTGGATGTATGGTCAATAAGGGCTGGGCTGGCTGGACGGCCCAGTATGGACCAAGAGGCCTGCTGCATTTTCCCCCACTCTTATGTATATATGTATGTATGTATATGTCAGTGTGTATGCATGTATGTATGTCAGTGTGTATGCATGTATGTATGTCAGTGGTGGTGACCGTTAGCTGGCGGGTCAACGGCAGAATAGTTCAATATTTACTCTAGTGAGTCTTGGTCAACGGTAACGGACCGCACGAGCCGCAACGGTCAGAGAGAGAGAGAGAGAGAGAGAGAGAGAGAGAGAGATGATAGTTAATAAATACTGACGTCATCAACCACCTCCCTCCTTGGCAGGTGAAATATACACACTCATTTACGTACACACACAGACACACACACGTACGTACACGTCTATACAGTTATCATTATATTGGATCAAAAGACTTAATGACTGTGTGTGTGTGTGTGTGTGTGTGTGTGTGTGTGTTAGTATGTATGTATGTATGAATGTATTTTATGTGTACAGGAGCTTCAGGAAGGGAGGGAGGGAAGGTAAGGAGGGAGGGAGGGAGGGTAGGGAGGGTAGGGAGTCAATGAACGACAGATCAATATCTTGGTATCCAGTGGCACAGCACTTATACCTACCGTCACCTGCCATCACCTACCATCACCTACCGTTACCTACCATCACCTGCCATCACCTACCATCACCTGCCATCACACAGTTCTCCCAGATCAGTAGGTCACAACCCGGATATAATGACCCTGACAGTGACTTGCTGATACGGGTCATCAACACGACTCAACCTGACCTGACCTGACCCCCCACCTCCTCATTAACCAGGTCAAGAAGCCGGTCCCATTCACAAGGTCCCTGAAGTTATAATGGGGGCCTTGAAGTTATAATGGGGGCCCTGAAGTGATAATGGGGGTCCCTGAAGTGATATTGAGGGCCCCTGGACACCTTAATCATAATAGAATGCTTTATACCTCGAACCCATGCCCTCGACACAACACCTCGACCAGGTAATCCAATGCGCCACCTCGTCTCCCCCCCCTCGATACCCTCCTCCAGAAGCCGGATTTGATTGGCTAGCAGAGATCACTGTTAACCAATCACTGTTCGTCTGACATCACCGTTAGGTTTTGACCGTGTGTGTGTGTGTGTGTGTTAATGAACGAGAGAGAGAGAGAGAGAGAGAGAGAGAGAGAAAGAACCGTCAAACTACAAGTTTTGATAGTTTCCGTTCGATTAGACTCTCTCTCTCTCTCTCTCTCTCTCTCTCTCTCTCTCTCTCTCACCTACCTAGATAGCATCAGTCATTTCCTCTCTTTCTCAACCTTATCTATCTCGCTGGAGTGTTTTTTAATTATCTATTTTTATTGTGCATCATTTTAAACTGTATACAACAACAACAACAATGACAACAACAACAACAATGACAACAACAACAACAATGACAATAATAATAATAATAATAATAATAATAATAATAATAATAATAATAATCCACTTAAACAGGTAAACACAGGTAAACACAGGTAACACAGGTAACACAGGTAAACACAGGTAAACACAGGTAACACAGGTAACAAGGTGGTACTTACCTGTGGTCCTGGTATACTGAACAAGTAACTCGACGCATACTGATACACTGCTAGACA